AGATTTAGATCTTACATTTAAGTCTTGAATCCATTTTGAGTTTGTTTTTGTATATGGTGCAAGAAAGCAGTCTAGTTTCATTTTTTTAAAGTATTTTTTCCAATTTTCCCAACACTATTGAATAAAGAACTTTTGCCTCATTGTATGTTCTCACTTCCTCTGTCATATATAAATCAAACACACAGGCATGGGTTTATTTTTGGGCTCTCAATTCTGTTCCATTGATCTATGTGTGTTTTATGCCAGTACTGTGCAATTTCGATTACTATAGCCTTATAGTAGGGTTTGATATCAAGAATCATACCTCCAACTTTGTTCTTATTTCTCAAAATTGTCGTGGCAATTCAGGGTCTTTTGTGGTTCCATAGGTTAGGATTATTTGTTTTACTTCTATGAAAAAATGACACTTATTTTTAGAGGGATTTCCTTGAAATCTATAGACTGCTTTGGGTAGTATGGATATTTTAACAGTGTTAACTCTTCCTATCTATGAGCAGGATACATGACTCCATTTCTTTATATCTTCTTCAATTTCCTGCTTTACTGTGTTATATTATTCCAAGTAATGATTTTTAACCTTTTTGGTTAAATTTATCTCTAGGTAATTTTTATGCAGATGTAAATTGATCTGTATTCTTAGTTTTTTATTCTTATAGTTCATTATTTGTGTATAAAAATAAAATGGATTTCTGAATATTAATTTTGTATCCTATTTATTGAATCCAATTATCGTTTCTAATAGTTTTTGGTGAAATTTTTAGGGTTCTTTATACACAGTATCTTGTGATCTGCAATAAGGACAGTTTTACTTATTTCGTTCCAAGTTGGATGCAGTTTATTTATTCTTGTTGTATGATTATTTTAGCTAGGACTTCAAATATATTGTTGAATGAAAATGGCAAAAGTGGAAAACCCAGTCTTGTTCCTAATATTAAGGAAAATGCTTTTAGCTTTGCCCCATTTAGTATACTGCTATTTGTGGTTATGTCATATATGGCATTTATACTGTTGAGGTATGTTCCTCCCTATCCTCAATTTGCTGACAGTTTTTATCATAAATAAGGTGATGGATTTTGTCAAATGCTTTTTCTGCATCTATTTATATGATTATATGATTTTTGTTATTCATTCTGTTTCTGTGGAGTGTCAACATTAATTGATTTGCAGAATACATTCTGTATTCCAGGGATAAATCCCACTTGATCATGTTTGCATGATCTTTTTAAAGTACTAATGAATTTAGTTTGCTAATATTTTGTTGAGAATCTTAGCATCTACTAGGTGTACTGATTAATAATGTCAGATTTTGTAATCAAATAAAACATGATAATTTCAAGAAAAACATCAAAAGTGCTTTATTTAAAGTAATGTCCATTGCTAGCTACACATTTTCCCATTTTTCAGGTAATTTGTGGATACCGTCACTAATTATCCGAGAGATGCAAATCAAAACGACAATGCGGTACCATCTCACACCTGTCAGAATGGCTATCATCAACAAATCAACAAACGGCAAGTGTTGGCGAGGATGCAGAGAAAAAGAAACACTCATGCACTGCTGGTGGGAATGTAAACTGGTGCAGCCACTGTGGAGAACAGTGTGGAGTTTCCTAAAAATGGAACTCCCATTTGACCCAGTGATTCCACTTCCAGGAATATAAACCCAGAAACTAATAACAACAATCAGAAAGGATATATGCACCCCTATGTTCATAGCGACACAATTCACCATAGCTAAGATTTGGATACACCTTAGGTGCCCATCTGCTAGCAGATGACTGGATCAGAAAACTATGGTACATCTACACAATGAAATACTAACCTGCTATAAAAAAGAAGGAATTGTTACCATTTGCAGAAACCTGGATGGAATTGGAGAACATTATGCTAAGTGAAATAAGCCAGTCAATGAAAGAAAAATACCACAGGATCTCACATATTTATGGATAATAAAGAACATTATAAACTGATTAAGAAGAAGATAAATACAGAGACAGTAAAGCATCAAGCAGACTGTCAAATTACAGCGGGAAGGTTAGGGAGAGGTGGGGGAGATAAGAGATCAACCGAAGGACTTGTATGCATGCATATATGCATAACCATTGGACACAAAACTATGGGGGATGAAGGCATGTGTGGGAGTTGGGTGGGGGGCAGCAATGGTAAGATATATACACATATAATACCTTCATTTTTTAAAAAATGAAAAAAGCTTTCTGCTGGTGAATGCCGCGGAGTGAGCATCGTTGGAATCCCCCCTGTTGCAGGCATCATGTCTAAGTCTGAGTCTCCCAAAGAGCAGGAGCAGCTGCGGAAGCTCTTTATCAGAGGTTTGAGCTTTGAAACAACCGATGAGAGTCTGAGGAGCCATTTTGAGCAATGGGGACGCCCACAGACTGTGTGATGATGAGAGATCCAAATATCAAGCGCTCCAGAGGCTTTGGGTTTGTCACCTATACCACTGTGGAGAAGGTGGATGCAGCCATGAATGCAAGGCCACACAAGGTGGACGGGAGAGTTGTGGAACCAAAGAGGGCTGTCTCAAGAGAAGATTCTCAAAGACCTGGTGCCTACTTAACTGAAAAAGATTTTTGTCGGTGGTATTAAAGAAGACACTGAAGAACATCACTTAAGAGATTATTTTGAACAGTATGGGAAAATAGAAGTGATTGAAATCATGACTGACCGAGGCAGTGGCAAAGAGGGGCTTTGCTTTTGTAACCTTTGATGACCATGACTCTGTGGACAAGATTCTCATTCAGAAATACCATACTGTGAATAGCCACAACTGTGAAGTAAGGAAAGCCCTATCTAAGCAAGAGATGGCTAGTGCTTCGTCCAGCCAAAGAGGTCGGAGTGGTTCTGGAAACTTCGGAGGAGGTGGTGGAGGTGATTTTGGTGGAAATGACAACTTTGGTCATGGAGGAAACTTCAGTGGTCGAGGTGGCTTTGGTGGCAGCAGTGGTGGCGGTGGATATGGTGGAAATGGGGATGATTATAATGGATTTGGTAATGATGGAAGCAATTTTGGAGGTGGTGGAAGTTACAATGATTTTGGCAATTACAACAATCAATCTTCAAATTTTGGGCCCATGAAAGGAGGCAACTTTGGAGGCAGAAGCTCTGGCCCTTATGGTGGTGGAGGGCAATATTTTGCCAAACCACGAAACCAAGGTGGCTCTAGTGGTTCCAGAAGCAGCAGTAGCTATGGCAGTGGCAGAAGGTTTTAATTACTGCCAGGAAACAAAGCTTAGCAGGGGAGGAGAGCCAGAGAAGTGACAGGGAAGCTACAGGTTACAACAGATTTGTGAACTCAGCCAAGCACAGTGGTGGCAGGGCCTAGCTGCTACAAAGAAGACATGTGTTAGACAATACTCATGTGAATGGGCAAAAAAACTCGAGGACTGTACTTGTGATTAATTGTATAACAAGTTATTTTAGTTTCTGTTCTGTGGAAAGTGTAAAGCATTCCAACCAAGGGTTTTAATGTAGATTTTTTTTTTGTATCCATGCTGTTGATTGCTAAATGTAATAGTCTGATCATGACGCTGAATAAATGTGATTTTTTTAAAAAATGAAAAAAAAATAGATAAATAAATAAAATTTAGCCAACCAAAAAAAATTTACTTCTTTACACAATAATAATTTTTAAAAATATAGTCAACAAAATATGTGTATTTGCATGCTTTAAAGGTATTTAAACATATGCTTTAAAATTTTACTGTACTCAAGCCATCCCCTCTGTAAGCTCTCCCAGATTATGCATTTTAAATACCTTTCTATGGCACAACTATAATTTCTCTAGCCTTACCCCTAGGTATAGTTTAGTACTCTGCTAGAGGCAACATAAGTTTTACATACATAATATAATATCTTTCATACTTTAACACATTTAAGAACACATTCCCAGCCACCTTGTCATTAAACTAACTTCATTTCTTCATCTTTTTCTTAAAGGCCATGCTTTTTACACATATATTTATATGTATGTGTATATTTTTTTCTTCCAAATGAAGTTCAAGTCTGTTAACTGCTAAGTTAGAAGCAACACCAACAAGACATATACAGCAGTCCCTATACCTACAGTGGCTTAAAGTCCAGCTGAACTCTGAAAAACATGGGTTTGAACTGTTTGGGTCCACTTATATGTTAATTTTTTACATGTATTTTTGCTTCCTTAAGATTTTCTTAATAGCATTCTCTTTAAGTCATGACTTAAACTTCTATAATAAATAGAGAGATCAGGAATACTTCGTTAACTTTAAAATCCTATAACATGTTTATAACCAAAGATGATAAAAAATGGCTAATAAGCACATGAAAAGACACCCAACATCAATTATCATCAGGGAAATGCAAATGAAAATAACATGAGGTATCATTACATACCCATTAGAATGGATAAAATAATTTTCTTAAAAAGACAATAATACCAAGTGTTAACAAGTATGCAGAGCACCTGGAACACTCTTATATTGCTGGTAAAAATGAAAAAATTAGACAACTACTTTGAAAACTGCCTGTTCTTGCAAAGCTAATCATAAACTTACCATAAAACCCTGGAATTACACTCCTGGATTTTTATTGCATTGAGTAATTATCTATGGATCACACATAAACTTATACATGAATACTTAGAGCAACTTCCAATTTTAATTCCAAAACCTAGAAACAACTTAAATGTCTCTCAAATACAAATAAATTATGATACATCCATACAATGAAATATTACACAATAAAAAGTAACACACTATGGACACAAATAACAATAGGATGAATCTCAAATGCATGTGCTTTGTTAAAGAAGTGATATTCAAAAGGCTACAATTGCATGATTCCATGAATGAATTTCTTAAAGGGTTGATGAGACCATTTTACATCTTGACTATATCTTGCAATTGTCAAAAATTGTAGAAGTATACACTAAAAAGAATGAATTTTACTCTATGTAGATTTAATTGATCTTTAATAACTCTACACAAACAGAAAAGATTTTCTACCTCACATTAGTTTCATCATTAAATTCTTCAGCCCACTTTTTCCTTGATTGTGCAGTAGTAGAACCATCTAAACGGTAATAGTCAATGTTTCGAAGCCATTTCCCTTCACCTGAAAATTTAACAAGAAAGAAAGAGATTTGATATATACTGTTCTTCTAGTAATAAAAGATTTTCTTCCTTGCTGAATGTTTAAAAGATGTTATCTGTACTCTATTTGCATAGCAAAACAATTTTTTTAATCAAGAAGTAATTCACTGTAGTACAAATAAATTTACCACATATTTCCTTCTACAAGATATTGAATAACAAAGATATTTTAAAAAATATAGCATCTACATGTGAATTTCTTAACACACTGACTTGACTAGAATCCTTTAAAATTGTCAAAAGAACATGTTAAGCTGCATTATGCCCATGAAGCTTGTTTTTATTGAATCTGTAAATATCCAGGTTTTCCCTTCTTATTAATAAGTTGATACTGAGAAGATAAAAAACAGAGACATATAATACAATTACTCATTCACTGAACAAATATTTACTGAATGCCTATTATATACCAAAATCATTCTAATGCCTAGCAACAAATATTGGCATATATTCCTATTTTATGACAACTGGTGTGTGTGTGTGTGTAATGATTGCAACTTTGTAAGTTAAACAGTAATCAGACACATTGCCTTTTGTACAGTGAGGTGAAATTTTACCCAGTACTTACACTGATACAAAATTACCAAGGGATTAAATGCTTATGACAAGTTAATGTTTTCTCAAACATAATTTCTATTCCAATTCTTTAACTTTCAACATAACACTATTTCACCTTCAAGAAAAATTACAACCAATGGACACAAAACTCTGGGGAGGGAGGGTATGTATGGGGGGGGGGCAATGTTAAAATATAAACACAGATAATAATTTAATTAAAAAATAATAATAAAGAAAAAAGAAAAAAAAAACTGACATCATATCCTAGAGTCTTAACATAAAAATAAGTTGGCAAAATGAAGATTTATATATTGACATGTTTATTACTTACCTATATCTTTTTTGTTTTTATCTTATATCTTAACCTACCGTATTTTCTGGCATATAAGATGACCCCCTAATTTTACAGTTAAAACATAGGTTTATGCCTATATTCGCTGTATAAGACTACCCCCCACTTCCGAGGCAACAACAGTTCTTTTTTCAATAGACCGCCTCTCTGACTCTGGCCAATCTGAGCAGGCTTTTTACTAGAACACAGTGTCGTCTTATACGCCGGAAAATACGGCGTATATTGACAACTAGAATTTCCTTAATAACAATTCAGTAATGGCTAAGAAAGTCAATTTGTTTACTTAAGTTTGTATCTTTTTTTTTTTTTTAAATCCTCACCCTAGCCAAAACCGGTTTGACTCAGTGGATAGAGCGTCGGTCTGCAGACTAAAAGGTCCCAGGTTCGATTCTGGTCAAGGGCATGTACCTTGGTTGCGGGCACATCCCAAAGGGGGGTGTGCAAGAGGCAGCTGATCAATGATTCTCTCTCATCGATGTTTCTCTCTATCCCTCTCTCTTCCTCTCTGTAAAAAATCTATTTTATATATATATATATATATATATATATATATATATATATATATTTTTTTTTTTTTTTTTTTTTTTTTTTTTAAATCCTCACCCTAGGATGTTTTTCCATTGATTTTTAGAGATAGTGGAAGAGAAAAAGAAAGACAGAAAAAAATATCGATGGGTGCCTCCTGCACCCACACTGACCAGGGACCAAGCCAGGGAGGAGCCTGCTATAGAGGTATGTGCCCTTGACTGGAATTGAACCCAGGACCCTTTGGGAAATCGTACCCGGGACCCTTTGGGGAACTGAACCTGGAACCTTTTGGTCCGCAGGCCAATGCTCTATCCACTGAGTCAAACTGGCCAGGCCTTTATCTTTCAACTGAGAAAAAAAAAAAAGGTATACACATTTAAGAAAAAAAGAATTTGAGTTGGATAGCAATGTAAGAAAGGGAGTCACATTTGCATTAACTGTTCACTTCAACAGGATAATTATTAAAGTAAATATGCTAATCATAACTGAACAGCATATACACTGAGTGGCCAGATTATTATGATCTCTGAATGCATAATAATCTGGCCACTCAGTGTATATCCTATATACCCCGTTTCCCCGAAAATAAAAGTGTCTTATATTAATTTTTCTCCCAAAGTTGCGCTAAGTCTTATTTTCAGGGGATGTCTTATTTTCGGGGAAACACGGTAATAAAAGGCTAATATGCAAATTGTCCCCTCAACTAGGAATTCGACCAGCAGGCAGGCTGGCCAACTTACCCAGGTCTCCTCCTCCTGAGTGGCTAGATTATTATGCATTCAAGAGATCATAATAATCTGGCCACTCGGTGTATATTTTAATAAGTATTTCAAGATACCCACCTTTCCATAATAACACAAGTGAACAACTTTTACCATCACTTTTGTGAATCCAACAAATAAAAACTGTGATATAATCAGTATAGGTTAGTAATAAAAAATATACACTTTGGAGTCAGATGTCCTGAGTTTAAATCATAGTTTCATCATTTACTAGCATTTTCACTAAGGCAAAGTAATTAAACTTGTTGTGCCTCAGTTTCTTTATCTAAAAATGGGGGGCAACAAGTGTACCTACTGCATAGTTTTGCTGCTTATTTAACTGAATTAATATAAAAAAAAGAACTCTTCAAACAGTGCCTGTCACATAGTAATTAAACTTATTGGTTACTTAATATAATCACCTAAGATTCCATAGCCAATTATATCTATCTCTATTATGGCACATATATGTGTCTGATCCCTCTCTATAACATGATTTTCTGTAATACACCTTGAACCTAGTTCAGTACCCAGAACACAGTACTAGTAGTCATAGTAGTAGTAATAATAGCAGTATCAGCAGCAGCAGCAATTGTAGATGCTCAGAAGAAAAAACTGAAAATTGATGGTTAAAACAAATATTTGCTGGCCTGGTTGGTATGGCTCAACAGTTGAGTGATGACCTATGAATCAAGAGGTCATGGTTTTGATGCTGAAACCAACTTGGCTCAATGGTTAGAGTATCAGTCTGCAGACTGAAAGGTCCCAGGTTCGATTCTGGTCAAGGGCATGTACAGTGGTTGCGGGCACATCCCCAGTGGGGGTTGTGCAGGAGGCAGCTGGTCAATGTTTCTCTCTCATTGATGTTTCTAGCTCTCTGTCCCTCTCCCTTCCTCTCTGTGGAAAATAAATAAAATATATTTAAAAAAAAGTTCATGGTTCTGGTTCAATTCCCGAACAGGGCACATACTCAGGTTGTGGGTTCAATCTCTAATGGGAAGAAGGTGTGCAGGAGGCAGCTGTTCAATGAGTCTCTTTCATCATTGATGTTTCTATCCTTCTCCCTCTCTCCCTTCCTCTCTGAAATCAATACAAAAAATATAAAAACAAGTATTTGCTGAAGATAATTTATAAAATTAGTTATGTACTAGTAAGCATATGGGAAAATATTCAACCTTATCAAAATAAACAATAAATTAAGCAAATTTAAATTAAGAACAAAAACAACTGTTCTTACCCAAGAAAGATGAAGAAAATGTAGTGACAGTACTACAGGTATATAGTAATATGGGCATTTTGCTACTTTTTCACGATTGTAGAGTAAATTGATATAACTTTTTGTAACACACCCTTTAAGATAATGAAGCACTATCAGAACACAAAATCTAACTAACAAAACTAATACATAGTTATAATAGAAAAACATACTTATACCGTGTTTCCCCGAAAATAAGACATCCTCCGAAAATAAGACCTAGCACAACTTTGGAAGAAAAAATTAATATAAGACACTGTTATTTTCGGGGAAACAGGGTAGCTCTGGTCAAGATAGCACAGTAGGAAAACACTGTGCTTGTTTCCTCCTACAACAACATCAAAATTACAACTAAATTACAGAAAACTACCTCCAGTCTAGCTAAACAAAATTCCTATAACTAAGGACATAAAGAAGAAGTCACGTCCTTACTGGTAGGAGTGGGCAGAGAGGCAAAGTGGGCTGGAACCACACCCACACATGCCAGTTACATCAGGAGGGCTATATCCACTGCAGAGGTATACCTGAGAAATAAGGTGCCAGCCCCACACTAAGCACTCCAGCTGAGAGCGCCAGTGCCAGAAAGAGGAGTCTCCACAATGTCTGCCTGAAAATCAATGAGGCACATGCAGGAGGCGACCAATCGATGCGTCTCTCTCACATTGATGTTTTTCTCTCTATAAGTCTCTCCCACTGCCTTCAACTCTCTCAAGAAAAAAAAAAAATTAAAGCTCAGCTGGTGTGGGTGAGTGGTTGAGCAGCAACCTATGAACCAGGAGGTCACAGTTCGATTCCCAGTCAAGGCATATGCCCAAATTGAGGGCTCAATCCCCAGTGTGAGGCGTGCAGGAGACAGCTAACCAATTATTCTTATTATTGATGCTTCTATCTTTACCACTCCTTTACTCTCTGAAGTCAATAATAAATATATATTGAAGAAAAAGATTTAAAAAATGGAAAATATCCTAAGGTGAGGATTAACATAAAAATAATACTATTAAAAAAGATCAATGAAACAAAAACATCAGAAATGAAAAAAAAATAACAACTGATACCACAAAAATACAAAGAACAAGAAAATACTGTGAATAATTATATGCAAACAAACTGGCCAAAATGGAATAAATGGATAAATTCTAGAAACATACAATCTTCCCAAAGTGAATCCAGAAAGATAAAATATGAACTGTCAGCTAACTACTGATAAAATCAAATAATTTCTTTAAAATAAAAAATCCCAACAAACTCAAGTCCTAGAACAAATGGGTTCATAGGTGATTTTTACCAAATAATCAAAGGAGATTTAACATCTATAATTCTCAAACTATTCCAAAAAAAACCCAAGAGGAAGGAAGACTCCCAAGTTCATTTCATGAAGCCATAACTATCCTGTTACCAAAAATACCAAAGACATTATAAAAACAGAAAATTATAAGACAATATCCCCTATGAACACAGATATAAAAATCATCAAAAAAATATGAGCATACCAGATAAAGTAATACATT